TAGCTGACCTGAAAAAGTGGTTTTTTTTTTTTTTTTTTTTGGAAGATAAACAATGGGCTACATATGTCTGGAGTGTTTGCTAAACAGCAGAGGAAGATCACACCTGCATGTGGCTGTCATACATACATATCACAAATGGAAATATGTGTTGTGATCTGTGAATGTAGTTTAAGTCTAATGTCTGGAAAGTACACTGATATTTCTGTGTATGTGCAGGCTATCTGAGGTAGACACTATGTTCAGTAAGTCCAGATGTCAGATTTACTATGCAAATACAATAGAAGTGATCTACTCACGTGCAGCAAATCAAGTGTATCCGGAATGTATCAATACATGTGCATCGGTTCTATCTGAAATTTTGCATTTTCCTGGAGTTGCCAGAAACCTAGAATCCTGAAGAAACATCCCAAATCCGTGAAATCCTTTTTCGGCAAAATTTCAGGGTTACTTGGTAGTCTTATTATGGGTTGGTAGTAACCATACGATTAAAAAAAAATCAATTAGCTGAAGAAAACTTATAAAACCACAAAGGATTAAAATGACTCTCCAGGAAAGATAACGCTAGTCATCTCTGTAACAAGGACCTTGTGAAGACTTCTACAGAAGTTGAATAATGCCTAAGGAAGCCCAGGCCATAAGGCCGTTATGTTTACAATAGGAGGATAGCTCTCCTGGATGAAAATATCTTTTACTGAGGCAACAATGTATATTGGTTCATTATTTTGTGTGAATAATCCACGCTAAGGCTCTGCCCCAAGAAGCTGCATGCTCCAAATTACGCCAGTCTTTCAGAACAAATGGGGGTGATTGGCACATTGAAGCATATAAAATATAGAGATGTTTGCTACCTCATCTTCTTGAAAGCTCTTTGCCTATCTTCCTTTTTCCTGGCATACTTTGTGCTGACCACCTGTTCAACCATGGTGCATTCACGTACATTACAATTGGCTTTGTTATGAGCAAGCTTTTTTGCTGAGTGAAATGTTAATATTATGTCCTTCACTACAAGGTCTGCTTGCTGAGCAATGCCTACAACAAATTTGTCTAAACTTTGCCTCTTCCTTCTTGTCTTTTCTGTAAGACTCAAACATTATGAAGTGTTAGTATGAAAAATTCTGCCATATCCACATTACTAAACCTTATTAGGGATTTATGATTCCCTCTTCTTTCTCTGAGCTTAGGGCTTTCTGCCTCTGCCCCTGTAAGAGAGCTTTGAATAACATAATTTTTACAACATACACTCAGGCACTCCAGTAATTCATTTTTCCTGTAGTAGATTTTAGTCAGGTATCTGACGAAAACCACATCTCTACAAGTGAGAGCAACTTGCTTGAATATTTAATGGAAATAATATGTTCCACTTTGGTACTGAATTATTATTCTTTCTTAAGGTCAAATTAGCATCTATACACAACAACGTTTTCTGGTGTGGGGTGGTGTGTGAATGTCTCTGGTTTTGGCCTACAAGGCAGCTGCTGAGTAACTGAAGGAAAACAAACTAAAGACTGCTTTATCATGAAAGGGCTAGCCAGCAGCCAGAAGTAAGCAAATGTGTTGGACTTAACAGTTCTTCTACCTTTCCTCAGGACTACAGTAATCTTTTGTGAAATGCTGGATAGTGGTTCCCAGAGATGGGATCAGCGGTAGAAAGATGAAACAGCAAGGGCTTACAAAGTTGCTTGCAAGTTATTTTAGTAAATGGAATATAGTCAACCAAACTAAATTGGTGAGCTGAGAAATCTACTGCTGAATTCTCTACATATTGTTGCCATTCATATGCAGATCTATCAAGGCCCCTTTCAAGCCTCCCTGCTATGATTGTGTAATGTGAAAATGGAAACAGTGAGGATTTTGTATGTAGCACTTCCTTCCGTTCGGTTGAGAATAAATATGGTAAATCTAAACCATTTGTGTTGAACTTCAGATGATAAACTGTAAAAGTTGCATCAATGTCATTCAGAATCCAAATAGCATTTGCTAAAAGTTCAGTTTAAAGATACATGATATCTTCTGCCAGTGTTTTGTATCTGTTATGGTGACTTGAATTTTATAGCAGGATAGGGTGACAATGTCACCTAGTTATCTGTAAATGGCTCCTTTAAGTGGCTAATTCTGTGGTTATTCTTCTTTATTATCCCTTCTTCTCCTGAAAAGGTTAATGGAATGTTTTTATTTTTCTCTTCTTTTTTGGTAAAAGGGTGTGCCCATTCTGAATACTTGACTTTTAAGAACAGGCTGAATAACTAGAGAGGAACAATGTGCTGTAAAGATGCAATTTATTTCTTCTAAAGGGATTTTTTTTTCTCCCTGATTTTCTGTATAAATCAGCTCCTAGACTAATCTCAGCTCCCACTGAAACCAGTGACCACACCTCTGGAGACTGACTTGATTGCCTTAAAAGAGAATCAGAGATGAATGTAACCCATTAGGATTTGAGGAAGTGTAGTACCTTGCAGGATGAAACTGAGAATCTCATGTTTTTTTTTTTTTTGAACTGTGGGATAAAACTCTAGTTGGACTGAAATGCCCTTTCCTCTTATGTCTGTGGGAGCCAGAAAACTCGTCGTGAGACCTTAATGTCACCATTTCATTATTCGTTTCAATATCAGGCAATGAATTTGTTAAAGTGAGATGCTTGATGACAAGCAGACAAAAGGGCTGAGGTCAGAGCGAATGGCCTGAAGGATATTCAGCTTTGCTATGGTGTTTGAACCAGATTTGAGCCTGGGATTTTGGAATGAAACTTTTCCAGCACAGTGATTGCCATTAGCACTGTTTCTTTATAGCTTCACTTTTCCTTTGACACAAATCCTGTGACTGAAGGTTGTTGAAGGCGCATTATGACGCTGTAACAAATGACCTTGGAAATCAGTGGTAGGGCTCTTCTGTAGCATGAGTGAATGCAATGAATGACCTGGGAAGTTAGTAATGGGGTAGCTCTTGAAGACTTGGCTGATAAGACACCTATGTGAGTGGCAATGAATACTGAATGCAGAAGATTTTATATCGTTAGCGAGTAATGTAAAAGAGGGTGCCCTCTTTCATCAGTGAGTTTTCTCATCTAGTAAGAAAACTCCTTTCTCCTTTGCCTTCAGCTGCAAGTCTAGAGTGATACTGCACCAATACTGCAAGAAGTGAAAGGAGACAGTGCAGCATACATGTTACCAGAAGAATATCCTCACCAAAGTGGTCAATAGTATTGTCTTCAGTGTTCCCATCTGCCTCAAATTTGGGGTATAATGAGAACAAGGAATATGGTCTAGTCTAGATTTAGCTTAAATGAGTTAAGGATTTGAGAAAATAGAAAGCTCTGCCTCTCTCTTCTAATGTTTTGAGTATAGCACGATTGAAAACACACTGTATATTATACATACTGTGGTAAACAAGGTTAAGATTTAGCCATGTTTTCAAAAGCTGAAGTCAAGATTTAAATAGCACTAAAACTTTTCTCCGGGCTTTCCAAGGTAATGCAATTACTGCATAGGCAAACTTTTTGATTAAGTTAAAGGAATACTGAACTTTGCCATGTTGAGATGTACGGCTAAGAAAAACAGACCACTAATATTACAATCCTATATATGTTGTAGATTAATGAAGTGAAAGAATTCATATAGTTTTACTAGAGAAAGAAAAGGCATATACAAACATACACAACATGACTGGATTTTTTTCTTTCTGTATGCGGAATTCCTTAGAATAAATGTATACATGCGTACATATATATATACACACACACACATATACATATATGTGTACATATATATATACACACACATTCACACATACACCTTTTCAGAACATGGGGCTTTAATACCTCACTATTGCAACAGTAGCAATTCTTATAGTGCTCTTAATATGCTATACGAAGGCTCTAGCTTTGATTTCAGCCCGTTGTGTTTAATTTCTAAACACAGGATTGTTTTTTCCAAAATTGTTTCTCTTTTTCAAAGTTACCTCTGAGTAGAAAAGGAGTACCTCTTAATTGTTACAGAGATAAATGCAAATGTAATTGTGCCAGAAATAAGAGGTTTTTAGCTCAGGAAGCAAAGCTGGAAAATGATACCACGCATTTGCGGAGGAGCTGTGCTTAACATCTTCCTGTCGCATGGAGTATTCTTTAAATTTTATCAGTAGCCTTCAAGCTAAAATAAAACCTCATTCCTTTTAGAAATACTAAGAATTCCAGATCTGGTAGCAGTAAGCCTCAAAGCATTCATCTATTGTTTCATTATTCTAGTGCATGAGAGCAACACTATTTGGAAGGACTGTAAAGTGTTTGTGTAAAGATTAATAAACAGCAAGCAATATTGCCCTTAGACTTTACATTGACTTCGGAAAAGCCGAGAGCAAAGGTCTAAAATGCAATCTTTGTAAAACTTGAAAGTTCGGAGTGTGTGGTTCAAGTCACTCGTATTTCTGCTTCTGAGACTTCCAGTTAAATGTCATTTTCCACACCAACAGAGTGCTTGCTATATAGCGCCTAATCTCTTCCGGCAGAAGGCCAGCTTGCCTCCTACTTCTGATAAATTCACGCTGTGAAAAGATGATTTAGTAACTTTAGAAAACGAACTCTTGCGTTCCTCAGTAGCGAAGCACCCAAATGTGGAGTTGGGTTACTGCTATCGGGGCACCCGGGGCTGCTGGGGCCTGTGTCAGGCCTGGCCACCAGGGCTCATCCCCACCCTGCCCCGGGGCAAAGGGCCCCGGGCGGTGGAGGGCAGCCCAGCCCGGGGAGCGGCAGGCCCCGCCCCAGGGCCGGGGCCGGCCCCC